GATAACTAATTCTGGATGAAATGCATTAATCCGAGTTGTGAATTATAGTATAAATTCCCTTTATAAATTGAGTTTCTGAGCAAAATACTATAAATTGTCCTCACAATTCATCATGTCTCTCCCTCTCCTTCATCAACATCTCCACTTCATCTCTAATCCCCTCAGCAGTTGTCCCTTCCAGCCTCTTACCTCCATTCAGCCTCTTATCCCCATCCCTATAAACGATCACCGTTGGATAAGCACTGACCCCAGCCCTTCCACAAATTGCCTGGGAGTCTTCGCAATTCAATCTGCCAAACCTTGCCCTCCCCTCAAGCATTTTAGCAGCAACAGCAAATTGTGGTTCAAGTACTTGACAATGTCCACACCAAGGTGCATAATAATCAATCACCCACACATCCCTCTTGTTATTGTTAATCACCTTCCTCTCTAAGTCACGTTCACTGAATTCCTTAACACTAATCCCCGAAAATTGAATTATCCATCTCATCAAGGAAATCGCGTCTCTATTTCCACTGTACATGGCAATCTGATTGAGTCCTTCACTCCCCATTGGGTACAATCTAATGGTGGGATAACTCCGGATCCCCTGGGAACGACAGAGATTCCCGTTCTCTTCGCAGTCGACACTAGCCACTTTCACATATGGCAAAAGATGAAGAACTTTGGCAACTGACGTCCACTCAGGTGCCAATTGCTGACAGGGGCCACACCAGGGGGCAAAATAATCCACCACCCACAAATTGCTGGGGCTTTTCTTTCCCAAAGTATCATAAAAATTATTGGAATTCAATTTCATCACTGTGGGATTCATAAACTCTTTTATGAACTCAATAATATTTCGGGCTGTTTTTTGAAGGGTGAATTGATGTGTGGAGGAGCCGTTGATTAACATTGCAGTTGGATACGAGCGAATATTGTACTGACGACAAATCGATGAGTGCACGGTACAATCGACTGTGCCAAAGTGGATTGTCGATTTTTGAAAGTGGAGAGAAGCTTTTCGAAGCTCTGGAAGAAATTGCAAACAGGGAGGACACCATGGAGCGTACCAGTCCAGAAACCAGACTTCTGAATGTGTCTTCCGTTGGAGAATTGAAAGGATTTTCGAGGCAGACAACGCCCATACGTTTTGGGCTTTCATACTGTTTTCAGCGAATTTTGCTATGTCGTTTATCTTTTCCTTTCCGTGATTCAGCTCGAATGCTCCTGAGGGCTTCAGGACTCCCCACATTGGATAACGGTTTATCGAAAGTGAAGAACAGAGTGCATTGTGACGTCCGCAGTTTACTTTACCCAGGTTTACGTCCTGGATTATCCCTGGCAGACGCTTCAGTAAGAGATCTAGCTCTGTCGCGTGTCCTGGAAGCAAATTTACGAAATCGAATTGACACACAAAAAATGTCGAACGTAAATTACGATTTCTAACTCATAAATTGCGAGATTCGAGCCATGCGCTACAATATAATAAATAAAAAATAATAAATAGCCACTAAAAAAAATTTTTTTTTATCTATTTTTGAAATTTTTTTGACTTTCTCTCTCACCTATATAAAAACACATTAACCATCCTTCAGAATCACTCGCCAATCCATTTTTAATTCTCTCAAACTCTTCAGCAGTGATTTCTTGAGGTTCTGGCAGCTGTTCGAGCACCTCATGGACCAAGCTATCGATATCCTCGAGTCCACCGAATAGAACCGGGGATTTAGAATCACGAGGATCACCAGAAAGGAAAACAGCCGACGTAGAGGACTCCAAAACATCATCACAGCGGTTTCTATCACAGTCAAACACTCCAATATTCAAAATATTCTCAAAAATAGCAGAAATCTTCAATTGATCTTCTTCTTCGAAGCACTCGCGATTTTTACCACAGGTAAAAATCAGCCAGGAGTTTTTCCTAGATGTTGAATCTTTGATCAAACGATGGAAACTCGATTGAGATAATTTTTCGAGGTTCACATCTAGCCTGGACATTATGAATTCTGATATTTCGTCGTAGTTCTTCCTCGAGGTGAATCTAATTCCGTGTTGAGAATTTTTAGGGTAGAAGAGGAGAGTTGGATAGGACTGAATTCCCAGCTGACGACAGAGGGACCAGTCGTCCTCACAGTTGACTGCACCAACTCTAATTACACCCTCAAAATCCTTGGCTATTTTTCTCCAGGACGGGGCGAGGGTTCTGCAGTGACTGCACATCGGGGAGTAAAAATTAATCATCCAGATCTTTTCAGAATTGATGACGTTGTCATGGTAATCATTTTTGTTCAGAGTCACCACTTGAGGGTCGTCGTCGTAAATTCCAAAATTTTCCTGGTAATAAGACCAAGAGCGATAGTTCTGCTGAGTGTTCTGACCGTTTAGACCCTCTTCCCCATAGAGATCGTATTTTTTACGCAGATCTGGGTCTTTCAGAACCTCGTAAGCTGTCGTATATTTGATGAATTTTATGTGAGCGTCTGGATCATCCTATTCACGAGAAAATTAATTCAATAGTAAAAAGAAAATTTCTCGCAGGAGTTGATAAACTGAAACTTCAGTTCTGCCGTGTTTTAAAAT